CGCACGCCACTTGCATCTTGGAGCGGATATGCTTCGTAAGTTCATGCATCGGTTCTAATATTGCCACTAGTCCAGTTAGCTTCCGTGTGAAGCTGCCTGATTACCTTCGACAAGCTCACGTACACGATATTTACCACATCTTCTTGTTGCGTCTTTATCGCAGACCGTCTAAGCGCTTCGCCGGACGTCCTTATGAGCGCCCTTTACCTGTCATGGTGGATGGTCACGAGGAGTTCGTCGTTTTCGACATCGTATCTCGCCGAGTTACCAACGATACCCCTCCACACATCGAGTATCCTGTGCGTTAGAAGGGCTATCCTGATGAGGAGGCTACTTGGGAAACCCTCGAGCACTTGGAGTACGCTCGGATGTTGGTGCATGCGTATGATTGTGCTCGTCGTGCTGAGACATCTGCTCCTACTCAGCCGACTGACCGTCTTCCTCCTCCTCCGACTGAGAATATTGTTGAGGACGAGCCCGCTCCCGCTGAGGCCGTTCTTCAACAGCAGACGGATGCGTCCGCGCATCCACAACGCACTCGTCGACGCCCTCTGCATCTCGACGACTGACACTCTGATTCCCTAACTTCTCCCTACTGACTCACACGTTCAGGTACTTCATCATCAACTTCTTCAGGATGTCAACGTTTTGCGGCTCTGCCTCGACACCGACTTGACACCTACTTCATCGACGTCATCGACCACTTCGACGACTCCAGTTACCTTATCGGATGTTAACTACTTTGGACGTTACTACTTCAAGTCACCACTCAACCCTGTACATAGCTTGCATGTGTCGCATGATGGTTCTCACTTAGCTGGTTCTCTCTAAGTTGGGCTCTCCCTTGGTATCGCATAGGCATTGGGACCGTAGCGTTATCTTGGTTTCCCTGCTCCCAGATTTAGCTCCCTCCCCCAGTTAGTGAGTTGTGTGCATATTTCCCTCACCCATTGCATCCCTCATAACCTTAGTGTCAGCCATTGCATGCCTTCAGTTAAGCATATGTCAACCCTATTCCAGACTCCCCTTTCATGGTCGCCCCTTCATGGTGTCACCCTTTCATCGAGCATTACCCGCCTTGATGGTCTATCTGTTAGGGTGATTGGTTTTACTTCGCTACCACTCCCTCACCCTGAGTGTGATGACCTATCCCACCTTTGAGTGTAACTGCCCTTAGGAGTCTTGATTCTTAGGCTGCATTCACCCCCTCTGAGACCATCCCACTCTTAGTGGATCAGCGACATGTCATTACTTGTGACATATTGCTCTCTTTACCTTTCAACACTGAGGCAATTGTCTCCTAGACTTTAGGATTGTATCTTTCTACATGTCATTTTCTGTTGTTAGTTAGGATGTGTAGTCCAGACATTTGCTTTTCATTTGACATTATGTAGCTTAGGCTGCATCGAATGGACTCAGCATGGAGCTTGCTCCACATCTTAGATTTCTCAGTCTTCTTTATTGGAGAGTTCCGCTACCTTTGGCGGATAGTGTGTTTATGGCTTTTGTGGTCCACTATAGGTCTGAGGATCGTGCATCGGGCCTCTATCTGCCCTTACCTATAACCAGGGCCTATCGGGTTATTTACCTGTTTGGCCTATTGGACCAGGCAGTGTGTTGTTTCAATCCAGTCCAGTCATGCCCGGTACCACTGTCGGTACCAGGTCAGCCCAGTCCAGTCCAGTCCAGTCATTCCGTTGAGGGTATACCCCAGCTGAAGTCTGTTTTCAAGTCCTTCATTCTGCACATTTTGGAGTACGTGCGTGTTGAGTCCGCGTCGGAGTTGCGTTGTCCCTTCCAAATCCGTCTCCATCTCCATCTCTGTCTAGCTCACCCCTTCGTCTTCATCCTAACGGACCACCATCCCGGCGGATCCGCTACATGGAGGAAGCAACACGAAACGTGACTAACAATGATGAAAGTGGTGGTGGTGGTGATGAAATGATGGCGGAAGCTACGAAAGTGATAGTAGTGGCGACGGTAATGAAAAAAGTTACGGCAGCGATGAGACTGATGGCAATGGCAAGGAGGATGAAAGCAAAGGTGACGAGAAAGATGGTCATGAGGGGAGTGGCGGCAGTGACGAGACTGATGGCAGTGACAAGGAGGATGAAAACAAAAGTGACGAGAACTATGATAGTTCATCGGAGGAGGAGGGCGACTCTAAATCAGAAATCTTGTTTAAACTGCGCAAGACTAACAGTGTTGCCAGTCTGAAGACTCTAAAAAGTTCAAACGTCAAAGTCAAATTAGTTAATCATTTTTATTTTTATTTTTTTTCCCCTCTGCTTCTTTAGTATTGTGCCTGCTTTGCACTGTTTGCAACTCTGCATGTCTACTAGTTGAATGTGCTTGTTGATTTACTGCCAGACAGGTTCTCTACTGCCTAAAGTAGGAAATGCAATGCAGGTGAGTGTTTGGTAACACAACCCCACCCCCACCCGTTTTGTTTTTTTTTTTTTTTTTTTTTTTTTTTTTTTTTTTTTTTTTTTTTTTTTTTTTTTT